TATCGCATTATACGTAGGCTAGGTAGGTACTGTGTGTTTGTTATATTCCAAAAGCCATGTTTCGAATTATCGTCATACTTTATGGCGAGGAAAATTAATATCACAGGTTCCTCATAAATCAAGAAGATCCTATTACCTATTATAGGATAACACTGATGCCTGTTAATGAATAACCGAGATAAAACTATCTTTGTCGTTAGTTACTGCTCAGAATATTCGGGGCTAAATCTTGACGCAATACCACCAAAATTGCAGATATTTTTAGTTATACATTTAATAGTACAATATACGACAAATTAAATTTAAAGTATCTTCTATATTAATAGTACATCGTACTAATAGTATAGTACAAAAAGTAATATATCGACATAAATAGATTAATATTTCCTAATAGGGAAAGCCGAGATGGATTAATCAATGTATTAAAAAATATACAGTTCCTTTTAAAAAAATAAAATTCACTTTAAAATTCTCTACACTATTGAATCTGCAAAAATGTACCATATAATGCCCATATAATACCCACATTCGAAACAAACAACTTTTCTTAAAACATCTTTTTTAATAAATTTAATCCCTCGTAAGATATTCCACCGTTTCCAATTAACATTAAACCTACCGACGCGGTCTTTTAGACCGCTTCCAAAACATCTACTCAAATTCAACCATATTTAAACGTTATCAAATCGCTTCATATTTCATGACTTTTCCTAAAACACGCATACAATATATTTTTCGGTATTTATTTCTAGTTTGCTTTTTTCTTTTCCAAGAAAGATTTATACTTTGCCTTGCCTACTGTGTGCGGTCAATTTGACCGCTCGATGGAATATTCTATTTATTCTTAAAATAAATACAATCAGTGCAAAGAAAAGGCTACATCAAGGTCAGATGACAAACAAAATTAGTAATAGCAAATAATAACAACTGTTACACACGTAACATTGTCATAACCATAATCCCTCAATGGGATTATACTTCTCATCCCTCAATCAGGAGGGCCACACAGTCCCATATAATGACCCTAAGGAACTGCCATAAGATTTAGAATTTTTATGGTCAACTGTTACAAACATTTTAAAAATCGAAAATTTTTTTAGGATTATTGCTCATTCCGGTAAAACACGGAAAAAGTGGGTTTTTCCCATGTTCAACGGTCAATTCCACCCTCGAACAACCATTGATGGAAAATGGCCAGTACCCATCAATATTGTCATGTAAATGTAGGAATGTTTATTATAAATTAACAGAAAAGACAGTATGATAAACACAATATTGTAACACTCTCACAAACTTGAATATAATATCGCACATCACGAATTCGCTTAACATTATTTCTACGTCATAGCAACACGATGAACTTCTCTCGACCACGATTAATTCAACTCCGACAGCATTAGCATTACTGTAACAAACCCTGGCAATGGGCACAACACTCCTTGACAACATTAACATACCTTAACAACGTTTATAAACAATCAGCCACGTCTTTCGCTAACGTCACACCATCCCACAACTTCGGCCATTCTGACAAACACATCTGCCCTCAGATGTACCCAATAATACTAATTACACTTACGCTTATGATTTCTTGCTATTCTGCAACGATTAACAACCTCAATGGATAACGATTATCCTTCGTTGTCTTCAAAATCGTCTCCTACTTCTTGAGCTTTGCAAACTCGATCATCCAAACCGCTTCGGCCTTCTTGTACTAATAACTCTTCTACTAAAGGTACCTGGTCTATGCTCGATTTTATAATCTAATTTTTCAATCTTTCTTTTAATACTTTCTATCGTTTCTGCAGCTTTTTGCAACTGCTCCTTCAAAATATTTGTACTTTGTTCAAATTGCTTTTTCATATCTTCTATCAACGTATTCTTTTTCTCCAAATCTTTCGTCGCACGTTCTATTTCTGTCCGCAAACTTTTCTCTGATTCTTTATGAACCGCACTTTCTTGCTGATTTTCTTTCAATTTTGATTGCAATTCAGTTTTTTGATTTATACATTGCTCCATAATTATTCTTTTCTCTTGCACCTTATCCTCAAGATTATTTCTACTTCCCTCCCAATTTTTATTGCGACTCTGTAAGTCTTCGATTTGCTGCGTTTCTTGAGCAGTAGCATTTGAGACTTTATTGCGTAGACGTGTCATTTCTTCTTCTGTTTCGAATGATTTTATGCTAACACGTTCTAGCTGACCGACACGTTCTCTTTCTTCCAGCAACAGCTTTTCGATATCCTTGATCTTATTTTCATTTACAGTATTTATCACAAATTGCTCTCTTCTTTCTTTCTGAATATCATCCTTGTGAACCGATTCTTCCTCGAAACGAAACTGGAGATCTTCACACTTCCTCTTCTCTTCCCCCAATTGTAAAGCTAGCGCATTTTTCTCTTCGAGTAATTTTGAAAACGCAACCTCCGCGTCAGTAACGGTTTTTTGCATTTTCTCGCGATACTGCTCATATTCTTTTACTACTGAAATAAGCGATTGTTCTGCCTGATCTGCTTGATTTGCAGCTTTTGCAATTCGTTCACGTTCTAAATCTCGTTCTTTCCGGAGAATCTCGATTTCCTGTTGTTTCTCCTGTTGTTTCTCTTCAATATGGTCCAATTCGACCTTATCTCGATCGTCTTCTTCATTACATACGTCTATATTTAATACTTCATTCCATTCACTAACTTCGACAGCATACTGGTTTACACATTGTTCCTTTTTAATTTGTATAAACTTAACTTGTTTATATTTCACTCTTATTTCCATTTGCTCAGTTAACTCAATTCCTAATAGTACATCATGTCCTAAGTAGTTATCAGGAACTACGTCAAAGTCTAGAGTTGCCTTCAAACCGTCAATCACTATTTCCGTTTTAAATCGTCCCATGGTATATACGTTCACGGCTCCTATACTATCGAATTTAATTATTCTGTTCTCAAGTTGAGTTGCTCCTAAACGCAAATACATACTCATTCTCACTAAATTTAGATCACTACCTGTGTCTATCTTTGCCACTATATTCTTGTTCATAATCTTAATTTGCTTGACCCCTCCTTTATTTTCATTTCACCATCCATCACAACGCGTCTTAACCTTAAGTATATTCGCACAGTTTGTTGAAATGTGTCCGAATTCTCTACATTTAAAACATTTAGGACCTCTCGATTTGTTTGGACAATCAGCACTTACATGTTCTTTATCGCCGCAATTATGACATCTTCTATACTTCATCACACTTGCAGATTGCCTGCATTTCCTGTTGTCCTCAGGTCTAACCTGTCTCACAGACGACTCTGCTTTGCGAGATTTTTGTTCCTCATAGATGATCAAATTTTCCTTAAGTTCTTTCATTGATCTTGCCCCATATAGTATTGTCTTATTAACTTCTTTATCTTTTATTCCTTCTATGATGTACCGCATTTTTGCTGCTTCTTCCATATCCATGTGACTTGCTATGCCAAGCATGCGATACATATAAGCTGTACATCCTTCGTCTTCTCTTTTTTTAGTTTCTTGAAGTGTACGGTTTACTTGCCATGTATTAAATTTTTTCGAAAATTCTTTTATTAGACTTCTTTTTAATTCACACCAAGTTCTTGCACGGCACTCATAGTTTACAAATATTTTAGCTGATCCTCTCATCAACTTTTTTGTATAGATTACTTTTTGTTCCTCCGTCCACAAACACATACTCGCTGTTTCTTCAAATGTCCTGAACCATTGGTTAATATTCTCGTTAGTTTCGCCTGTAAAAACTTCCAAAGCGTCTTAGACATCTTGAAAACTCAATGTTGTTCGCCTACGTGTCTTTCTACAGCATCTATCACAATTTTGATGTCCATCTCGCACGCTTCTTCTGCGTTCCCTTTCATCCTCTTTATCCTCCTCCGTTTCACTCTCGTAGTCGGTTTCCTCCTCCGACGACGCATCTTCTTCCAAGGCCGCCCGTAAACGCTCACGTAATTCTGCTTTTCTTCCTTTTGTCTCTAGCTCCAAACTTGCTAGACGTTCTCTCAATTCCTCCGACCTAAGCTTCTCGAGACTTTCATCTACATCTTGACCATGCTTAGTTTTTGGTTTCATCCCCGTACCTCGCTTCTCTGCGGACCTTTCACCACTCGCTTGTTCTTTTAAATTTGATTGACCTTCACTAATTGCTCTATTTAGCCTGGCCACCAGCACTGACCTTGCCTTAGATATCGGAAGATTCATCTGAGCAAGCTTATTCCTCAATTCTTCTAACGTTAAATTTTCCTCGCTTGAAAATTGTTCCTCCTCACAATTTGCCATCTTTAACTTCACAATAATTTCTTCAAATATACACAATATTATTCACAACAGCTAACGATATTTTATCACACTGCTTCCCGAAATTTAGATTGGCACGATTTAAAACTGGACGTGCCCCCAATTTGTAGGAATGTTCATTATAAATTAACAGAAAAGACAGTATGATAAACACAATATTGTAACACTCTCACAAAATTGAATATAATATCGCACTTTACGAATTCGCTTAACACTATTTCTACGTCATAGCAACACGATGAACTTCTCTCGACCACGATTAATTCAACTCCGACAGCATTACCATTACTGTAACAAACCCTGGCAACGGTCACAACACTCTTTGACAACATTAACATATCTTAACAACGTTTATAAACAATCAGCCACGTCTTTCGCTAACGTCACACCATCCCACATAAATATCACCGTCAGAGACTATATTTTTACTTGGTATCTTTCTTTCGACCAGAATACGTGTCAGTTTGTTAGTGAATCAGTCGACATCTAAACTTGTTATCTCTATAACTCAGACAGAAAGTATCTCAGAGTGTTTTGTGTAAAGTGGTTATAAAAGAAATAGTAAAGCATATAAAATTTGACAATAATTTTGTATTCCATACATAATGTTATTCTGTGATAAATATTTACCCTAAAAATGTCAAGACTGCAAAAAAATTATTAAAAAAAATAACGGACATAACAAAAGAATGTCCAGAACGTTCAGAATGTTGATGAACAAGAAACTTCAGCAACTGAAAACAGCATGGAAATACATGAAAAGCTATTTACAACCATCAGAGTTAGACAGCAATAATGAAGAGGAGAATATTATCAATGAGCGTTCACGTCCAGGGCAAAAAAGAAAGAAATTATCATTGACAGCAGAGCGTAAGACTTATGTAAAGAAACAACGTATCGAAACTGGGCTCGATGAGACAGTTTGGAAAGAACTAGCTGCAAGTTCCAAATCTGGCAGGACACCAGTTCACAATATTTTTAGGGGTGCGTCAGGTCCAACAGGATATGCTAAACGGCATATAATGAAACGACAAGTAAAGACAGCATTTTATCTTATCATTGATCATCGTATAAGGGATCATATAATAAAACGTACGAAAGAAGAAGCATTTAGGGTATCGGGGACTAAGTGGGAGCTAGATACAACAAAACTAGATGCATTTATTGCTCTGCTATACGCCCGCGGCGCATATCAGGCAAAGAGCTGCATTTTTTTCAAAAGCAATGAGCAGGAATGATTTTACTGAAATTATGAAGTTTATACGATTTGATAAGAAGAGCGAAAGGAGCCAGCGTTTACGAAACAATAAATTTGCAATGGTATCTACAGTGTGGGACCGATTTATAGAGAATTCACAAAATTGTTATAAACCTGGTACATATATTACTGTTGATGAGCAGTTGTTTCCGTCGAAGACTAGGTGTAGATTTACCCAGTATATGCCGAACAAACCAGACAAATTCGGCATAAAATTCTGGTTGGCGTGTGATGTCAATAGCAAGTATACAATAAATGGATTTCCCTATTTGGGAAAGGATAAGAAGAGAGAAAATTCAATTTCACTTGGAGAATTTGTTGCTCTGAAGCTGATGGAACTATTCACAGGATGTGGAAGGAACCTAACAACAGATAATTTTTTTACGAGTGCATCACTGACCACAAAGCTACTCGCAAAGAAACTACAATCGTTGGAACAATTCGTGAAAATAAACGGGAATTGTTAAAGATCGTCAAAGATCGAAAGGATAAAATGGCTCTGTTCTCAAGCAAATTTTATATTTCGAATCAAATTTCTTTTACGATGTATAAATGCAAACCAACAAAAAAAGTGTTTGTGCTAAGTTCCATGCATAGAGCGATAGAAATTGAAAAAGGCAATAAACCTATACCGGAAACGATTAGATTTTATAATGATACAAAATATGAAGTAGTTGTAGTGGACCAGATGTCAAGGAAATACAGCGTGAAGTCAAAATCTTGTAGGTGATCCCTCCAGGTATTTTTCAACATTTTGGACCCAGCTGGAATAAATGCCTGGACTTTGTAGACAGAAACAACAGGTGAAAATATTTCAAGACAGGAATTTTTATTCCAATTAGCTACAAAGCTCGCTGTTGAGTATACAAAATCGTGGGAAGAGAATCATGCTATAAAACTATCAACAAGTTCAGATATATTATCACGAAAAACTTGTCGAGTAAGAAATTGTAAAGGTTACAAAACCACGAACATCTGTTCAACATGCGGGAAATATGTATGCGGCAAATGTACATTTGATAATAAGATAATTTGTAAAAAAATGCAGCGGAATTGAATCAGATATCTCTATATAAATTAAAGTATAATTTTATTTAAGTCTATAATTGAAATTAAATAAAACTAAATTTGGACGATATTTCCTGACAGATCATCATTTTATATATATTCAGTTATAAATTAACTATTAAATTAACTAATTAACTAATTAAATTTAAGTTAAATTACAAAAACTATTACTTTTTAAATCAGCGGTCATTTTGACCGCGCCCGATAGGAATAGATAACACGAAATGTCGGTAGGTTTAATGTTAAACGAAACACCCTGTACATAGATATAGTTTATATATTATTAATTTCACAACTTCGTCAAACTGTAATTACCTTCTATTTTTTCTCTTGTCTGTATACTTATCGATCCACTGAAATATTAATTTAGAAGCAAAATCTCTCAGAAAATTCTAGACACGAAATAATTCAAGTCTTCAAAGAGTTACACATACACATACAAAAATTTGCACAAAAATTCCCTGAAATTTTCAGTTGGGGGTTGTAAATATTTTGTTCTATTCCCGTATGCGACAACGAAAACTCTCCAATTACGGAAGCGTGCTAAGTAGGTCGACATGTACTTCAACCACGATACTAATTTTCTTTACTGCTTGCATTTTGCAATATGGCCGCCAAACTCGAAAATAAACGAACGTAACGCTAATTAATCTCCATTCTCTCCATCTTGCAGCGTCGAACGGCAATCGAGTGACTGCAATAAAATCACGATTTTAATTTCTACACAGCTGATTGTCGATTGTAGCCGACAACGCGCGAGAAAATTTGATATTCCTTACAAAAACACTGATTGTAGAATTATAGTCTCTATTGTAGGGTTTTTATCGTGCATTTATTAATTAACTTTTACAAAGCGTAATAAAAAAACGAAGAATTCACGAAGAACGATCTGCAAAATAATTACTTCCTTATTGTCAAGACTTCCTACATTTCTGATTTCCATTTTTCAGCAAATAAAAATTTATAGATCTTTTTGGCTTTTCCTGGGTTGTAAATTCCAGTACTTGCAATTGTTGAACTTAAAAATAGTTTATTCTTTAATGAATGCAGATTTATTGCATTTCCGACACAAAATACAAAAAATATATATGCAAATAGTTGTAAGTCCTTTCCTGAGAATTAAATTCTAGTTATTTTATTATACGCTTGGGCATTACTTAAATAAAATGTTTGAAAAATAATTATTTATGTGATATATCATTTTATTTGACTAAATGTTGTTTTGAAATAATTATGCGCTTATTTGAAAAAGCAAGCGATGTTTCTTCAAAGTATTTAATTATTTAACAATGAACAACCATCAATAACAATAAAATAAACAATTACTTCGTATTTTATATCTGAATGCATAAATGTTATCATCTATCTATATCTTAGATCATTTCTGTTCTGTTATATATATAGTGTCATTTTGCATCAGAAATGTTAATCGTATGTATTAAGTGTATTATGTGCATAAATTCAAATGCGGATTATACAAAAGTAATTAAAATTGAAACAATTTTGTGAGCGAATATTATTATATTGTAAAACAATTTAGCAATTTAGCGATAATATTTATAACTTAAGTGTATACAAAATACAAAATGTTTAAAAATTCAAATTAACACAGAATAAAGTTACGTCTATTATTTGTAAGATAGAAACGCTAAAGTAATTGTAATGATTCTTTATTTCAAATTATCAGCTTTTATATTTATTTCAAATAATATTCATCTAAGCTTATTTCGTTACACAGGATGTATCACGCAACTCTCGCCACGATTTTACAACTACTTCCGATAATTTGACGACTATTTTCAATCGACTATCAATTGCAATATAAGAAATGTCTAAAACATTGTTTCCTCTATAAAAAATCAAGATCGTTTTAATATACAATGTTTATTTCTGTACATTGTTTATGCTATTTTTATATTATTAACAATTTTATTATTATTTTGTATTATTAACAATTGTATTATTAACAATGTATTATTATTATAGTACTATAGTATAGTATTATTATATGTATTATTATTGCGTACGATTAACATTTTTCTTAATGAAGCTCTCCTTTTTAAAATGTGTAACTTGATTAAAAAATGAAACAATTTTTAACGATAACATTTCCTCTTATTAAACCGACATTTCGCATATCACAAGGTATAATATAGCGAAATGTTTAATCGCAGAAATATGTAGATCTATGAAATATGCAAGGAAATGGCATTATATGACAATGGCATAATATGACATATGTAAGAAAATAGTGTTAAATAGTAAAGCAACATAATTGTTATATCGTTAGCAATATCAGTTAGGTGCTAAAGTGTCTATATTATTCTGGATAATCGAATATCACAGATAACCGTAGATAATTGAGCACTGCGGTAATTAGTGTTAGAGTTAACCATCACATGTTGAGTTAACAATAATTAGAGGTTACTAGTACAGCATTATCATGGATAATGGATAAATATTTAAATAGCTAGTGCTGAAGCACGGGACGTTCTGGTATAATAAGTGCAATTGAAAGTTTATTTTCTATATTATCAGGAATAATTGGCAAATAGCAATATATTATATTACATTTAAGAGTGAATGAATTTAATATAGCATTATTAAGAATTTTTTTATCACGAATTAAACTCAATGCTATGAATATCAAAGGCAATAGGTGGTTGGTAAGATTTAGAGGGCAGTAAGTATTCCAACGATTCCAGCAGATTATCAATACGGATGCTCGGAAACAATAAGCCCAACATGTTTCCGCCGTGACTTGCAATATTATTGTGTTGCTTTAAATTATATACATTATAGTATTCCGCAATCGTACTTGAAGAGAGAAATGCATTTGTATTAGGAGACAGGAACTCGTGAGACAAAATATCATCAGGCGTGTGAATGCAGCGTATGTTGAATAGATTGTAGTCACCTAATATACGTATTCATGAATCCTATGCAACTGACAATATTTCATCAACACATACACAATGGTCAAAATATAGAAATTGAGTATCATGTACCGTCAATAACAAAATTCGTTTCTCATAAATACACTTTGATGAAAAAACGTTCAATTTTATTTAGTGAAGGAATCGACGGTGAGCATCACAAATTATTTCTAACCGTGACTTAATAGCCCGCCACTTCTCGTACATTAATTCCTGCCGCAACGAAAGACCGTATAGCTGTTAAAAGGCAGCTCTTACATAACTATCGTCGTCACACAACCAAGCCTCGATGAAAAGAATATCATATTTAAAGAAAGATAAGTAGAGGAAAATAAGAAAAGTAGATCTTGATAAAGATATAGAAACACTGAGACTGCTTTTACACGGTACTTTCCTACGCGGTTTTTTACATAGTTTATTCAATTTTATATGATTTTTAACGCGTGTTATTAATTTTTACACGATTTATTTAACGCGTTTACAATTGTACAATTTTTTTAACACATTCTATTCATATGTACACAGTTTTGTTAATACGTTTTACTTATATTTACACGATATTGTCACACGTTTTACTTACTTTTATCTTTAAGTCAAGGAAATCGACAACTGCATTCGAAGACCAGTTTTGTCAACATACAAATTCTACTTTATTATCGCTGTAATATAGACAAGCAGCTGTTTTAGTATGCAGCTGTATTCATTTATTTAATAAGTATCAGTTTGAACATTTAGAACTTAAACAATTGAGATTGTATTGTTCCAAATTTCTCAAATTTGCATAAAAAGACAAAAAAACATATGTCACCACCACTGATATGAAACTACCAGGCAAAAGATATTTCGAGGGACGAAAGTTTCCAGTAATAAGAAAACGTATTCGTTGTAATATAATAGAAAGTGACAGCAAGGTGGTGCAATAGAATAGAGTGGAAAAGAGGGGAGGTAGAGACATATAAGAAGAGAAATAGACATAAGAGATGTAAAACCGAAAGTTCGTTGAAAGCCGAAAGTCAAAAGTCACGGATGAAGCAATAATAATAATAACAATAACAATAATAATAACAACAAAAATAATAATAACAACGACAATAACATTAATAACAATAACAACAATAACAATAATAACAACAACAATAATAATAATAACAATAATAATAATAACAACAATAATAATAGTAACAATCATAATAATAGAAATAATAAGAATAGTAATAATAATAGTAACAATAATAATAGTAATAATAATAGTAATAATAATAATAATAGTAATAATAATAATAATAATAATAATAGGAATAATAATAATAATAGTAATAATAATAATAGGAATAATAATAATAGTAATATTAATAATAATAATAATAATAATAATAACAACAACAATAATAATAATAATAATAATAATAATAATAATAATAATAATAATAATAATAATAATAATAATAATAATAATAATAATA